ATGCTCTTAACCACTGAGTCATCTCCCCAACCCTTTATTTAGATTTTTTGAGGTAGTTTCATGTGCATCCCAGACTGGCTTCTAACTTGTGATCCTTCTGCTTTAGCCTCCTAAATACTGGGATTACAGATATATTCCACTATGCTTAGAATGAGAAAGGTTTTGTTTTTGTTTTTTTAAATGAAAGCAATGACCAGGTGTGATAGTGCAGAACTGTTATTCCAGTATTTGGAAAGATGAGCCAAGAGGGTTATAAGTTCAAGGTCAGCCTGAGCTATAAGGTGACTTTGAGGTCTAGGTCTGGAGGCACAGGTCTGTAATATCAGCTTCTAGGGAGTTTGAGGCAGGAATTTTGAATGTCCAAGGCGTGCATAAGGCCACAGGGTAAATTCACAGCCAGTTTGGGCTCCTTATTCTGTCAAAAAAATTTTTTAAAGTAAAAAATGGCTATAAATACAGCTCAGTGGTAAGATTGCTTGCTTGCCTAGCAGGCCCTAAGTTAAATCTCTAGTACTGAAAAAACGAAACAAATATCAAACCCCAGAAAGCAGACGTTTGGTAGAAGCAGGAGGATCAGTAATTCAAACATCACTCTTAGCTACATAGCCCATTCAGTGTCAGCCTGGGCTCAAAGAAACCTTGTCTCAAAAAAACCAGACCAAAAAAAAGAACCCTACAAACATACAAAACCTCAACAAAAACCAAAGAAAGGAAGGACTCAGTAACACTTGGGAGGGTGAGATGAGAGGATCACTGATTAGGATCACTGATCAGGAGTTACTGATTCATTTAGGCAACTAAAGGAGACCCCATCTTAAAGGTAAAATAAAAAAGAAGGGAACCAAATGTTCATGAGGACCATTGATGTAGAGATTGTCTCTATAACTTTCATTCATTCCACAAATTTTCCAGTGAGCCTGCTATGACCCAGCTAAAGTTCTAGGTGATTGATGACATATTTGTAAACAAAAGGGGAAAGTCTCTGGCCTTTTAAAATTTATATCCTGTTGGAGGAAGACAGACAGATAACAATTATACTGAATAGCTATAGAATATGATAGGTGAAATGGTGTGCATATTGTTATAAGATAACAGGAGAGACTGGGAAAACAGAGGGAGCAGCCGGATGGTCAGAGTACACTAGCATACTCTGGTCTTGATATCAAGCCCTAAACCAGAACTGCCAGGGTGGCTCACACCTGTAGTCCCAGGCTCATGAAGCTGAGGCAGGAGGATTACTGGGAGCTTGAACCCAGTCTGGACTACATAGTGAGTTCCAGGCTGGCCAGAACTGCAGTGAGACCCTGTCTCAAAACAAACAACAAATGTGTAGCCAGAGGGGGATGTAGTCAGGCAATAGAAACGTTGCCTACCAGAGTCCAATAGACAGCAGTAAAAAGAGAATAAATGGTGTTCAGAGAGGCTGTAATAACAAGATCTTTGAACAGACACAAAAAGGCCAAGAGGATATCAGCAATATAGACACTCAAAGCTCCAGACAGGATAGAAAGATGGGGAATTATGGAGCCATGGGACAGAAAAGAGGTCATCCTTGCTAATTGAAATTCAAGCATTTCAATACAACTAACAAAAAATTACTATTAATTAAGATTGCTTGCATAGAAACAACAGTTGTGTAAATTTTTTGTTTGGTTTTTTTAATTTTGTTTTGTTTTTTTGAGACAGGTTTCACTATGTTGCCCTAGCTGGCCTGGAACTTGCTATGTAGACCAGGCTAGCCTCAAACTCATAAAGACCTGCCTGCCTCTGCCTCCCAAGTGCTCAGATTAAAGGAATGTGCCATCACATCCAGTTTTGTTTTTTGATATTACTTCAAACAATAATGTTAAAATACCAACTAACCATACATTAAGGTCAAAATGTATGTGCCCTCTGAGTTTAACATTATTTCTTTCTTATCTGTACTTTTCTGAAAATCTCACAAACAAGGCTACAAACCACAGTTACAGTCAAAACACTTTTTTTTTTTTACACAGGGTCTGTCTCTATTGTTTGGGCTGGCCTCACACTCATAGCAATTCTCCTACCTCAGTTTCCTGAATGCTGAAAATCTAGGCATACACTGTCAAAACTGGTTTGAAATATGTCTTGATCGCCTTGTGACCTACATATAGCGATAATTTCTTTGACCTTTTTAATTTGTTTTTATTTTATCTACCTGTAAAGAAAAACAAAACAAGACAAAACCAAAAGACCAAATATATTTCATGTTGTATCACTAGGGTAATAGTAGTAAAGGCAAATGGAGGAGCTTTGTGGACATTTTAGGAACTTTGGTGTTTACTCTTAGAAGCGACAGAAGCTTAACATGAACCTAACTTTCTGAAAGCAACATTGCAGCAACCCAGCCAAGTCATGCTGATGACTGAGCAGCTAACAGCAGGTTGCAAGGTGGAGATGTGGTAAGAAGTCACTGGACTCTGGACATATATTCTTTCTTTTGTTTCCTTTTCCTAGGTATATTTAAAGGAAGGGAGTACATAATTTGCTAACAAAGTACATAAAAAGCACCAGGAGAGAGCTGGGTGTGGTGGAGCTTAATCCCAGCACTCGGGAGGCAGAGGCAAGCAGATCTCTGTGAATTCGAGGCCAGCCTGATCTACATAGCAAGTTCCAAGCCAGCTGGGGCTACAGGAAACTATCTCAAAGCATTGAGAGAGACAACAAACTGGCTGACAAGTCATGAACATAATCCCTGTACTTCTGATGCCATGCACCTGCAAGAAAAAGGCCCCAAATTTGTTAAAGATTGACTTGTCCAGATACATTGCAGTGGAAAAGTCTGGTTCACTTTAAAAGATAACATTGTAACTTACAGAGCAGTGCCACTGATCTTTGAACAGAAGGATAGTTATCTCCAACCCAGACAGCAACTCTTGCCACTATATTTCTGCTCCAGGTTATTGAAAATATGTGTAGACCTAAAAAGCATTCACTATAAACATTCTGAGATTTCTCTAGAAGTCCTTGGATTGTAGAGAAAATTCAAATCAAATATTTAAACAGGATTATAAGAATTCTCATTACCAATACAAATTTCCAATAAATTCTAATAGGTATACAAACAGGTTGATTTTTCTGTCAGTGTCTTTTGGCTAACACTGTATCCTCAACATGATTTTTTTTTTTCAGCGCTGGGGATGGAACATAGCCATTCTACCAACTGAGCTATAATCCCAGCCTCTCCAGATGAATCTTGAAAGCAACTATCTGGGATATGAAAAAACCTTGGGAAACATACTATTTTAATTCCTTAAAAAGATATATGCTGTGCTGCACCTCTAGAATTCTAGGAAACTGTGGCTGGCTTACCTAAGCCAGTTCTTTTGTACAGGAATTACTCACCTGGGTGTGGTGACGCTACTGCTGACCCATAATAAATAGGATGACATCACCAAGTCACTTTGGACTCTCTATGAAAGGCCACTGTCGGCCTGTCAAACATTATTAGTTTGATTCCCATGAATTTTCATCTACAAACATCTACATGAGGGACTTAACAAAACTATACATGTGTTTCAAATCACATTAGTACAGCCAGGTAAAAACACACTCTTTCCACTGATGAGGGTTTGGATTTCAGTCAGGTATTTACTTTGCCCTCAAGGGCTAAACATCTCCATCCTGAAAGCCAGGATAACCATGTTTTGTTTTAATTTTTTCTGGGGTTATTTATAACGTTCTTCTCTCCTTCTTTAAAGATTTATTTTAATTATGTGTATGAGCGTGTTTGTATTTGTGCACAAGCGTGCAGGCACCCTGAGGACGTTGGATTGGCTGAGCCATCTCTCCAGCCACCTTCTTTAAAAAATATGTATCTTCAAAGGGATATGGTACTTGGTGGTGCTCTTCAGTTGGGTCTAACTTTTTAACGTTAAGTGACATCTCAGCTTTGATTTGGTATGCTCAATTTGCGTTTAATATAATAATAATAATACAGGAGCTGAAAGATGGCTCAGCAAGTAAGGGTGTTTGCTGCTAAGCCTGATGATCTGAGTTTGATCCCCACAACCCACATGGCTGAAGGAGAAAGTCAACCCAAGCAGGTTGTCCATGGCACTCACACCCCCACACAAACACGCACTTGGCAAAATTAATGAAAAATACTTTAATTACTAAATGTGATTAATTTCTACCTTTTAACTATTCTCCTTTTGGTTTTTAAATTTTCTTTTATTCCTTTCTTCCTGTAGTTAGGATTGAGTTAATAATATTTACAAAGTTTTCAAAACCGTGTCTGGGAATAGCCAAGGTTTTATGCATTCCTCACTTTAAGACTGTTGGTTACAAAACCTATGAATTTAAATTTATGTGTTGTAGAAAAGCAGGGAAATAAACTTTATTTTCCCGACACTTAATTTATGCTTGATGCTTTCGAAGCATTGACAGCACTGCAGATAGCAGAGGTGACTAATTCTAGCTGCCTCCCAAGTGCTGGGATTAAAGGCGTGAGCCACCACAGCCGGCTTCAAAATACTTTTCCTAAAAGTAAAACTAAATCACACACACAGTCTAAAGGAAGAGGAGCATTTCCTTTAATCGTATTGATAGCTGGGAAACCCTGGATGCTTAAGACGCTGGACAGAAAGGTGAGCGAGCAATGGAGACCTCACTAAAACGGTAAATCACTGGGAATAATCAGAGAGACAGCAACAGAGCCTGGCTCAGTGTGCCCCGGAAGCCACCAAGCCGCATCCGGGAGTCCGCAGGGGTGAGTTCCCAGCGGCGGAAGCCGAGAGGAGGCGCAGACCAGCAGCGCGGTTCCCCGAAGCCTCCAGAGTCGGCACCCGGCAGCGCGCACCCCACGCCAGCGGGCGGAGCCAGGGCGGTGCGCGCTTCCGGTGCACGTTTCCGGCGAGCGGCCGAGCGCAGGGGCGGGGGCACCGCCGGCTTCCAATCGCACACAATGAGATGGCGCTGAGCGCCGGAAGTGGGGCCGAAGGAAAACACGGAGAGGAGCGCCGCTCGGACAGGAAGAGGCGGGGGACTGCGGTGGAGCTGGTGAGTGCTCCCGGACACCTTCTTGTCGTGTCCCGCCCGGACTCGCCTCCGGGCTGGGGCCCGGTGGCTTCCCTGGTCCCCGCGGTGGAGATCGGGCCCGGGCCCGGAGGTACGTTGGCTCCATCCTCCTCCGGCCGCCTCGCCCCGGCTTCGCTGACCCCGGAGCGCCCGGCCGCTGAGACTGAGCCCTGGGGTTCGAGTCCGTGTCTTCACTTTGTGTCCGACTCCGCGGGGACAGAAGAAGGGATTTGGGTCCCGGCACCGGCCCTGGCCCCCTGGCAGCCAGGAGGGACACCCCAGAACCCTGTCGAGATGGCCGGGTGCTTCCTGCTTCCTGGTCCCCACGGTGGCTTCGTGGCTAGTAGTGCGGGGACGTCGCCTCCTTCGCCTCGGGACTCCAAGTGTGGAAACTGAGGCACATCAGGGGTGGGGCCGCCAAATGGGGAAGGAAAAGAAATGTCATTCTGCAGAGAATTATTGTTGGTGACGAAACCGGACTTGTTTGGGGCTGGGGAATAAGAATTAGGCTGAGTTAGCAGGAGTTGCCCTTTGGTCGGAAACCCAGCCCCTTTTGATAGCGTGGTACCTAGGTCCGGAAGCACTGCCTCTCTGTCGCCCTAGCGATCACACCCAGTCTGATGTGAAAAGTGGTGAAGGTAAGAGCAGAGTTGATCGAAGTGTAGTCTGTTCACATAGTTTCGGTTACTTTGTATGACATTTAAAAGTAATTGCCAACTTAAAAAATAACTTGTGAGAGTTTTATAACAGTGTTGACTTAGGATATTTACTTTGAAGAGAGGCGCTTTTGTTACATAGATACAAGTTGACCAGGATACTATTTGTTACATGGGTACGAATTGATTGAGATACAATATTACAGCTTTTGAGATTATAGAAAAGTTTATCTTTATATTAAATACTTTTTATGAATACTACAGGACTTAGCCTCCTACCTTCCAATGTAATGTACTGAGTACTAGGAATGTGAGAAAAGTTTTATTTTAAAAATTGGGAAAAGTAAAGGATTTGGGCATTTTGTATACTTTGTGATATCGTGTTATAGTTTGTTGTTTTCCAAAAATGCCTTCTTTCAGGTACAAAGTAAGAAAATTGAAGTCAAAGACCATGGGCGATGCAGCAAAACCTTACTTTGTGAAGCGAAGTAAAGACCGTGGAATTATTGATGATGATGATTTCAGAAGGGGTCATCCCCAACAAGATTATTTAATAATGGATGATTATGCTAAAGGCCATAGCAGTAAAATGGAAAAAGGCCTTCCAAAAAAAAAGATAGCACCTGGGAACTATGGGAATACCCCCAGGAAAGGACCATATGCTGTTTCCAGCAATCCATATGCATTTAAAAACACAATTTATAGTCAACCTGCTTGGATGAATGACAGCTATAAAGATCAAGCTAAGAGATGGCTATCCGATGAACTTACTGGTAATTCAGATAACTGGAGAGAATTCAAGACTGGACCTAGAATACCTATCCTAAGCCAGGCAAGGAAAGAATCCTTTCAAGAAAGTGAAGATGGGTATAGGTGGCAAGATGGAAGAGGCTGCCGAACTGTTAGACGATTCTTTCATAAAGACCTAACCAGCCTAGAACCCATGTCAGAAATGGAAGCAGGAAGTCCCGGTAATGTGTTCCAAATCCTTAGGTTACAAATCTAATCAGCAGTGTCAATGGTTTTTTTCATCTAAATAACTCTTTATTATTTTCAGTAATGAACTATTTGATGTGATTGTATTAGGGTTTATAGTTGTGATGGTTGGGCAACTTCAACATATTTCCCACAATGGTCTTTTAAAAGTTTACTTTAAGACAGATGTAGTAGGCTAAAGTAGGAAGATCATGAGTTCAAGGCCAGCCTGGGCCACGTAGTAGGATGCTGTATCAAAAAAACAAAACAAACCAAGAAAAGTGAGGCTTACTTTACTTTAGAGAACATATCTTTCATAGAAGAGGGTGGTCATATACCCTTGGAGATCATACTATAATTTCTAAGTAATGTGTATGGATTTTCAGAATTAGGATGATAATTTTAATTTTGAAAATTATATGCATATGGCATTATAAAGCTAAATATATTTCATGAGAAAGCACAGTTATGGGTGGACTTCATATATTGCCAAGGAGAGAAAAAAGGGAGGGAGGGAGAGGGAAGGGGCAGTTAAAAAACAAGAAGAAGCTGAGAGTTATCTCTGTGGCAAAGTATTTACCAAGCTTACACAAGCCAGGGGACGGGACCCTGGCCCAGCAACCAAAGTTGGGAACCAGGAGTTTAGAGAAGCAGAGTACACATAAAAGCCATGCCGTTTGCTTTTAGTGAAACCAAAATTCTTTTTCTGAGACAGCGTCTCTTGTAGCTAAGGCTAGTTTTCCACAGAGACTCTTGCCTCCACATTTCAAATGGTAAAATTCATTTCTAAGTACTTCGCATGCTTTATAACGATTGCTCAAGTGATTGTATATTTTTCTAAAAGATGGAAGTAGATATTGTCTGTGCAGCAATGATTTCTAAAAACAGGAAGGTTATTTTACCGAAAGCATATATTTACTGAAGTGAAATAAGTCATAAATTGGATGCAAAAAGTGAAACACTATTAAATGTGAAATTAGACTAATTGTTGTTGGTTTTTTTTTTTTTTTAAGACAGTAGCCTTTACTGGCTTGAAACTCACTGTGTAGACCAGGCTGGCCTTGAACTCACAGAGATCTGCCTGCTCTGCCTCCTGAGTGCTGGGATTAAAGGAGTGTGCCACCATGCCTAGCTCACCTCTTATGTTCAGTGGCTAAAAGTCTTTCTTTAGTGATTGTACAGAATAAGTTGCAAAAATACTTAAGCAATTTTCATTTCAAATGCATTCAGGGAATTCTAATGCATTCATCCCTTTGAACCTTTCTAGGTCTCTTCTGTTATATCACAGTAACAGTTCATGTTTCTGTTACCTGCAAAGCACTTGAATTTGGAAGTCATGTACATAGAATGATTAAAAGGGAAAGCCTCTCCCCTGCCCCCTTCTTATCATTGGAAAGTCTTAGGGGAAAAAATATTTCAGGCACTTCCAATATTATTTGAAGGAAAGGAAGGTATTCGTTATTATTTTAAGGAAATTTTAAATGCTAATATCAAGTATTAGAAACAGAATGACATGAAGGCAGTAAAATTATAGAGTAGGAATTATACTGGCCAGCTAGCTAGCATGTAAAGAAAGGCATTGGCCATCAAGCCTTCAGTTCAAGTCCCAGGACCCATATGGTGGAAAGAGAACTGATTTCCCACAAGTTGTCCTCTGACCTCTACATGTGCCCTGTGGCACATGCATGGTTACACACATACACATAAAATAATTAAATGTAATTAAAAAAATTTTTTTAAGTGGGAAGAGGTGAAACTGTAGCCTTGTAATTCTTTGAGCTAGGCAGACTTGCAGACTTGAAGGGATTTTCTGATGGGATACTGCTGTGATATATTAATTGGAATCTCAGTTTTACAAACTCCATAGCTGCAGTTTGGACAGGTTAAAATTAAGCAGACCAGTTTATGCAGTGCTGTATGAGGAAGTAGACTCAAATCGAAACTGAAACTGAGGATTCTGTCATCCTGGCCTTTAACTCAGTCTGGCAGGACCTGGAATCCTGACAAGAAAACAGTATTTATTTGATAATTTCTGGGCTTTTGATTTGTTTCGTCTTTAAAGTTTGTACATATTTTAAGTATTTCTGTAGTATGGTATCCATGTGGTATGGACACTAAATTACCTGTATTTGTCTTTTAGAAAATAAATGTATATGTGGTTGTATATGCCTGTCATCCCATGATTAGTGAGACTGAGGCAGGAGAATTGAAGCTAGCCTGGACTGCATAGCAAGACCTGTCTCAGGAAAAGAAAAGGTTGATATTGAAAAGCATTTATAGGCCAGGTGTGGTGATTCATACATATAGCCCTAGCATTTGGGTGGGAGGTACAGGCAGGAGGATGAGAAATTCAAGGTTAACCTTTGCTTCCTAGTGAGTCCCAGACCAGCCTGACTTACATGAGACCTCTGGAACAAAACTCACTCAACAAAAGGGGGTAGGGGTGGAGAACACACCTTTAAAAAAATAGAGTAATATTATTTTGCAGGTAGACATATTAAAGGGGACCATTTGTAAACCAAAAAACTCTTATATGTATTCTTATTTGGTCTTAGGAGTAAGTAAGGGAGGTGCCTAAGCATACAAGAATAACAAATGCATTTTCCCCATCTTTATCAAATGCTCACTTTTTCTGTATGAAATATAGGCATATACTGTATTATTTATTATAGTATAATATTATTTCCTACAGTATAATATTTACTGCTCTAAGAAATTTGATTTAATGTATAAATTCTGCACTAAACTGAAATGATCCTCAAAAGGATACCATTAAAGGGATTGAAATGTTCTTAAATAAAAATTGTGTCTTAAACTAGGTGTAGTGGTATACACTTTTAATCCCTGCACTGGGAAGACAGAAGCAGGCAGATCTCTGTGAGTTCAAGGCCAGCCTGGCTTCTCCTAGTGAGCTCTAGACTGGCCAGGGCTACATAGTGAGACCTGTTTAAAAAACAAAACCAAAAGCCAAAAACTGTCTTAATAATAAAGATCAGTTGTATTAAACAATATGAAAAGATGTAATGGAAATTATGTTAGGGTTACTTTTAAAGTTTTAAAAAATTCTGTCCTTTTTCTTTCAGTTCTATATTACTGTCCCTACTTTAGCCCTCAAAGGTTCTGGATTGTCAATTTAAAGTATTTGGGACAATGTCATTAATAGTCTCAGCTGGAAACATTCATTCAAATGCATGTGTCCTGTGTGACTGGAATAATGTACCATATGCATAAAATGCGAAACTCAGAACAATTCTGCACAACTGGGATTATTATAAACCTAGGATGAACCAGACAGTCTCCCTTTCAGTAGTTATGGGGACTTTTTAGAAGTACTCAGTTTTGCCTTCCAAGAGTTGCTCCAGTGAGCTTTTGAGGGTTTGTAGCTGAATGCCTTTGAACCTTTGTTCAGGAAGTTTTATATTGCATTGTCAGTTCTGGCCTGTTCCAGATGTTTGATATGAGCCAAACAGGGTTTGCAGTAATACATTTTCACTGCATGTTGTTAGATACAAACCTGAATTTCAGAGTCCATATCTTAATCTTAAATCCTTAATCTGTATTTCATCTTTGTTTTTACATGGCCCTATGTCCTTAAATCACTAATTCACTGAGACTGCCATCATCCCCATCTACACAGTGAGAATAATATTAACATTTATGTGTAGACTACTATAGGGATTAAAGGAGGCAGTACATTTAAAAATGTTTTACATTTGTTACATAATGAGATGGTAATGACTGCTCGGTTGACATCATCTGACAATTTCTGAAGTATTCCCTTGCCAAAAGAATAAATTGTGGTTTCAATCCTTCTGCCTCAGTGTCCTCAGAGCTGTAGTAGCCATGCACTACTATACCCAACTGTAGTTTTTTGTTGTTTGATTGTTGATTTTGCCATGCTAAGATCAGTCCTAGGCCTAGTGTGTGTGTTGGTCAAGTATTCTCACTGAACTAAATTCCCATCCTGGCAATGACTCATTTATTTATTCATTCATTTATTATTTTTATGTATATGTGCACCTGCATGCATTTATTTATACCACATGTATGGAGGAATCTATGGAGGCCAGAAGAGGGTATCAGATCCTGCACCCAAGTTCTATGCAAGAGTAGTAAAGTGCTCTTAACTAGCCCTTGGAAGTGGCATTCTTTAAAATTGCAATCCTATACTTCCTTTTTTTAACCCAGAATTTTTTCTTTCCAGTTAGCCAGTTCACTATAATTGCTTATTAGTGATGAGTTCCTCTGACAACTTGACAGATTGCCTTATGCAAGCAAAGCCTTACAGTAGTTTTATATTTCCAAGGACCAATTTGTAGTAAGCCAGCGATAACTATTCCATCTGCTTAATCAGAATTTTTTTAAACATTTTAAAAAATTTTTTATTTATGTCTGTGTGTCTGCATGTATGTATACACATGTGCAAGTGCTCTTGGAGGCCAGAAGAGGGTGTCAGATTCTCTGGAGCTAGAGCACCTCTGAGCTGCCTGACATGGGTGCCAGGGAATTCAGGTCCTCTGTAAAACAGCAAGAACTTTTTTGAAAGATTTATTTTATTTTTACTTTATGTGTATGAGTATTTTGGCTGCATGTATGTTTGTGCAGTATGCCAGTGGAGGCCAGAAAGTGATGGATCCTTTGGAACTGAAGTTATAGACTGTTGCAAGCCACTATGGGGGTGCTGGAAACCCAACCCTGGCCCTCTGCAAGAGCAGCAAGTGTCTTAAACTATTGTACATCTCTCCAGTCCTTTGAATCATTTTTTCAAAATAGTTTTTCTTTATTTTTATTATTATTATTTTATGTGCATGAGTGTGTTGTCTGCATGTAAATAAGTGTACCCGTGTCATACAGTGCCCTCGGAGAACAGAAGAGGGCATGGATCCCCTGGATTGGAGTTATAGACAGTTGTTAGCCACCATGTGGGTACTGGGATTCGAACCTAGGTCTTCTACAAGAGCAGCCAGTGCTCTTAACTGCTGCGCCATCTATCCAGCCCCTAAGTAAGAGTTTATAATCTGATGTAATTAGGGTAAACTTTTATTTCAACTTCCAGTTGTTTCTCCTTTGTAACGTGCTTAGTGTTTCGGTGGTAGAGTTTTAAAAACTAAAAGTAAGAATAAAACTGGAAGAATTATTTGTGTAAATAAAATTTTCATCGTTTTTTTTTTCCTATTAATGAAGGGACCCAAATTATGCATTGTTGAAGGCCTAATTTGTAACTAAATGATTTTATTCAATCCAGGTAAGATTATAATCAATTTCTAAGTTCTCTGAGTGCATATAATATTGCCTATTTTGTCCTATTAATAGTTTACTTTAAAAAAGAAAGAAAGAAAATTAAACAGAACTTGAAGAAATGGCTCAGCGGTTAAGAGCACTGGCTGCTCTAGCAGAGAACCCAGGTTCAGTTCCTAACATCACACTGCAGTTAACAACCATCGGTAACTCCTGTCCAAGGGTTCTGGTGCCCTCTACTTGCCTCCTAGGTCATTACATGCACATGGTGCACTTACATGCATGGAGGAAAAACACTTATACACATAAAGTTAAAATTAAAAATTTTTTAAAGAGTCAAAGCAGCCAGGAGTGGTGGCACGTCTTTAATCCCAGTACTCAGGAGCTCTGAGAGTTGGAGGCCAGCCTGGTCTACGTAGCAAGTTTCAGGCTAGGTAGAACTTCATAGTGTGACCTATCACAAAAAAGAAAGAGGGTGAGAGAGCGAGAGAGGAAGGAAGGGAGAGAGGGAGGAAGGGAGGGAGGGAGGGAAAGAGAAAGGAAAAAGGCAAAAATCAGATATGAGTAGTTTTTATTAAAATACTAGGTTATTTATAATTAATTTAGAATATATTATATATACGTAAGTGTATTACAATGTGATACCTGCCTTCAGTGGAAAATTTTTACTATTTGCTCAGCAGCATACCATGGGGAAGACATGAAATCAAACTATTGAAGTACATTTCTTTTTAATGACAGTGATTTATGTGGAGTAGTATATCTAGTTGATGTGTTTAATGAGAATTAAAGCATTTTGTTCGTGGACAGCCACCTTCCTTCCCCTTTGTTCAGGATTCAGATGTCACTTATTTTAGCACATGCATAATACCATGTATGGGCTTGGGGTAGCTCAGTGATACAGGATTTGTCTGCCATCTGTGAGGTCCTGGGTTCAGTACAGAAAGGAAGAAATAAATAGAAAGAAAGTTCTGATTATGCAGAAGTAATATGATTCAATATTGTCAGTATTTTCCTCCAACCCAAGAAAACAAGAAACAGCGGTCCAGGCCCCGGAAGCCACGGAGGACTAGACATGAGGAAAATGAGCAAGACGGCGAGTTGGAAGGCCCTGTGATTGATGAGTCTGTACTTTCAACAAAGGAGCTGCTAGGCTTACAACAGGCTGAAGAGCGGCTGAAGAGAGATTGCATTGACAGGCTACAAAGGGTAACATCCTGTGCATGTTTACTGGATAATATCTGCATTTTAAACTGTGTTGGTAATAGGGAGCACCTGCCTTGGTGGATTCGGTCTTCCATTTTCATTATCAGTATATAAGTACTACATGCTAAAAGGGATATTCATTGTGACTTCTTAAAATTAAGAATTACTGCCCTCATATTTAAATAAAAATGACTCTTAGGGTAAGAATAATGTAAGCAGTAATTAACCATTTAAAAGTGATGGGGTAACCATTATTCTGGCCAATTTTATTTCTTTGACTGTTTGGAGATAAATATGTCAATCTTTTCAAATTGTAGCGACCACGAAATTGCCCTACAGCAAAGTATACCTGCAAACTCTGTGATGTTTTGATTGAGTCCATCCCTTTTGCTCATAAGCATATCAAAGAGAAGAGGCATAAGAAGAACATCAAGGTGAGGTTTGGACTAAAGTTCTCACCCATCGGATGTTATCGCCTGTCATCTTTGTGGCTTTCTTCTCAAACCTGCGCTGTTGTAACTAGTTATTTATTGAATTTATTTTAGCCAAAATACTTTTGTACTGGTCAGTTGTGTTTGCTGGGTAATCTTGTGAGTTTCCCTCAGTGTCAGGGTGTAGGAAGCCATTGATAGTGCCTACCGAGCTGAGTGTTCTTATGCAGATAATTAAGCAAACAGTGTTTGTTCCTGTTTTTGATGCTTTTTCTTGCACTTTCTCCTTATCCCTGCCTACTCTTTAGTATCCATGTCAAGTACATACAGTGTATAGGTGTATGACTATGTGAAGACCAGCACAGCTGAGGAAAGATCCTAGGAAATTGTAAAGGGTGTTGTCTCAGGGAAAGATGAAAGGTAAAAACTGTATGAGTCATTTTTAATCTTACCATTGATCTTAAAAGGAGAAGCAGGAGGAAGAGTTGCTCACTGCGTTACCCCCGCCAGCACCCTCCCAGATAAGTGCAATTGGTGAAGCTATTGACAGAGTGGTACAAGAGTTCGGTTTACACAGTGAGAACTTGGATCAGAGGCTAGAAATTAAACATACCATGGAAAATGTGTTCCAGCACAAGTTACCAGGTATTTCCTAGACTTGCTTCTCTAATTTAACTACATAAAGTACCTCATATTTCAAGTTAATTTCACCTAATAAAAATTAATTAGTGGCCTGGGCACAGTGGTACATGCCTGTAGTACCAGCTTGCAAGAAGCTGAGGTAGGAGGATCATGAGTTTGAAGCTAGCCTAGGCTATACAGCAAGACCATATCTCAAGAAACAAAGCACCCAAAATACTTATTTGTTGTACCTTAAAACCTATTTTTAGTGTTTTGTTATTGTTTTGGGAGGTTTTGCTTTGTTGTTTCTATTTTTTGTTTCCCCTTCTTTCTTCTGTAGTCTAGGCTGGCCTGTAATTTTCCACATAGTCCAATGTGACCTTGAACTCAGGAGCCCCTTCCTTAGACTCTTCAGTGCTGGAATTATAGGGAATCACCACCACATCTAGCTTTAGTGTGAGTTTGTTGTGGTTTATTTATTTTATTTATTTTTTATTACTTGTGTGTGTGTGTGTTTCTGTTTCTGACTTCTCCCAAGGTCACAGACTTACATGCACAGTCATTATAAGCCTTTTTACTTTTCTTACTTTTCTTTTTTTTTTTTTTCTTCTTCCTTTTTTGGTCTTTTTGAGACAGGGTCTTCTGTAGTCCCAGCTGGTCTAGAACTCACTATGTAGACCAGGCTGGCCTTGAACTCAGAGTTCCACCTGCCTCAGCCTCCCTAAGTGCTAGGACCAAAGGCATGTGCCACCACACCTGGCCTATAAGCCTATTTTTATTATAAATTTCATTGCGTGTCTAATTTTAATAGAGTTGATACCCCATATTATTGAGGCAGAGTGTATATGATTGGTTATTTTTCTACTTACTTAAATTGACAGGCTTATTTTTGTTGTTGTTGTTTGGCAGTAATAGAGATAAGCCCAAGGTCTTTTGTGTGTACTGGACAAGTACTCTACTGTTGACTGAGCTACATCACCATCCCTTATTTTTGCTTTTTAACTTGTTTTATTTATTAAACGATTTTTTTGTAGTGCTAGGTATTGAATCGAGGACTTTGTGCATACTAGGAAAGTGCTCTGCCAGTGAGCCTTAACCCAACACAGTACTTTTTAAATTGAATAAATGAAGGTATCCTCAAGTCATGTTTATGTTACTTGTGTAAAACAAATTCATTTAAGCATACATTAAAGAATTGTACCTAAACTGAGCTTTGAAATCAAGTTCATTAGCAATATGCAGTAGATTTGTAGACATAATATTAATTGGCTTTTCTAAGTTATGCCTATATTTTGCCTATATCTAATTTCAGATCTGTTGAGTTGCAGGGATAACTTTCTGGATTATTTCTTAACATTTCAGGCCAGGTGTAGTTATTGCTCAACATAGTAATTGACAGTCCTTGACAGCCACAAATGCAACTCTACATTCACTGGCAAGTCCTGTGTAGTTAAATGACTGGAATAACAATCAGTTTCAGTCCTTGCTGCTCGACAGAATTACTTCAGAACAGCAGATAACCAGGAGGATCATGAGTTCAAGGACAACCTGGGCTACATAGGGAGACCACCTTGGAGATGGTGGGGAAAGAGGGAAAGAAGGAAGGAGAGAGGAGAGAGAGGAGAAAGTTGACAGTTAAGATGGGAGATATTGCTTTGCTGTATTATATTTTAGCTCTGAAGTACTTATACTGAAAAATCATGCACATGGTATTTGTAATATACAACCAAAAAAGGCACTTTTTCTTTAAGTATGGATTACATACATGTGTTGCCTGTATGTATTTATGGTGCTCATTGGTATTCATTTTTTTGTTTAAAGCTATTGTGCTAAAATACCCTTTACCATCAAAAGACTTTTTTTTTGATTTGCTGATTCAGGTCAGGTGTGGTGGCACATGCCTTTAATCCCAGAACATGGAAGGCACAGGCAGGCTGTGAGTTCAAGGCCAGCCTGGTCTACATAGTGAGCTCCATCCCAGCTGGAGCCTGTCTCGAACAACAACAACAAAAAGCTGATTTCTTGGGGCTTAATACTATTCTATAACAGGATATTTATATTTTACAAGCAAAATTCACATAAAGTACAGTTGTCTTTTGGGGAGATAGCCATGAGAGGAAATGAATAGGTTCTCTTTCCTTACCCCATAAAGAACTTAAGGCAAACCTCCTTCCTTACCCTCTCAAACACTGCAACTACAGATGTGAGCCTCATCGTGTGCAGCTTTTAGCATTTTAAATTGTGCCACTGTTGTAATCATTTTGCAAAAGACTTTCAAAAGGGATTATATTATATTAAATGCTTTTTGTTCATAGTGTCATAATTCATATTTAAAAGTAGCTTTAGAGCTGGATCTGGTGACTCGGTGTAATTCTAACATTTCAGGGTTGCAGGCAGGAAGATCAGGAGATCAAAGACATTCTCGGCTATATAGGGAGCTAGATGCCATCCAGAGCTCCTTGAGACTCTGTCTCAAACACCTTTCCACCCACACGAAAAAGTAACTTTAGCTAGGTGTAGTTGTAATGTGCTGGTAATTCCAGCTTTCAGGAGGCTGAGGCAGGAGGTTCCAGGTTCAGGGGCAACCTGGACAACATAACAAGAACCTGTCTCAAAAAAATTCTTATGTTGGAGGGTCATTTTTCTTAATGTTTTAGTGAAGCATACTTTTTCTAGTAAGTTATACCTATATGTGCATTCTAAAGTTGAAATGCTGCTGCATTAGCTTGTGAATGTCCTATATAGTTTTAACAAGCATCCTTTTTCAACTTTGGACATTTTCAAAAATGATTACAAATAGTTTCCTACACAAAAATGTGAGCATGATAATGCAGCATTCTTTAACATGTTTTACAATTCATGTGAAGAGTGTTACTTTTAAGCTAAAACCAGAGTGGATGTTTACAGCCTTCCCATTGGGTAAAATGAGGGTCTGAGCAAATAGCTTTCCAGTTCTGTCCTTTGTTTATGTTGGATGTGAGTATAGCTTTGCTTTAATTGATGGTTCCATTTTTTGTAAATAGCAGTGCTTTGTTAAAACTTTTTGAAAACATTTTGCTGTTTTTTTTGACTTATGTATACATGTTTATTTTTAGATTGCGCTCTAAGATTATATGGATCTTCGTGTAGCAGGCTGGGTTTCAAAAATTCAGATGTAAACATTGACGTTCAATTTCCAGCTATTGTAAGTACAAAATGAAGTGTTGGAATTATCATTCAAATGGAATTCTTTTTAAGATTTATTTTTGTTTATGTGTATATGTGTGTCTTTACATGATTGTATGCCACATGTGTAGAGGGGTTGCCCACAGAGGCCAGAAGAGGGCGTGAAATCTCCTGGAGTTGGAGTTATAGGCAGTTTTAAACAACCCCAGGTGGGTGCTGGGAGCCAAACTCAGTTCTCTGGAAGAGTTAGACACACTCTTAACTGTTGAGTTGTATCTTCAGCTCCTGTAGATCTATTTTTATTTAAACTGATATATTCTTGAGTACAGAGACACATTTATGCTTCTAGGACAGAGGCTGTGCATGTTTCCATTGGCTGGGGAGATCTACCTGGTTTATAATACCAAGCCAGTTGGTGAATTTGGCTCTTTATTAGAACCACACAGAATTTAGCATCCTTCTCTGTTCTTCTGAAAATGTTATGAACAGCAATCACTTTCTTAATTAAATGATGAAGACCCTCAGGAAGATCAGGAGCAAGTCTTCCAGGCTTAAAAATTTGACTGTTTATCAACAAACATGTATACAGTGCCCTGAGTCCCTCTGATCACTTCCTTTGGGAGGAAGTGAGGCACTTAACAAGGTTGCTTCTTCATGTCTGAGCATTTAGCCTCAGAGATTTATCCAGGTGGGGCTACTCTGAGAGTTGCCTGACCTAGCTTTTCAGGGAACATAGTGGAGACTTGTGATGGTGACTTTCTGGCAGCTAGAGAGCTGAAATTCTTTCTTTTAAATGTGAACTGAATATGAATATATTTTTGATATTTGAAGTGTAACAGTGGCAGCTTTTTTTTTCCCTGGGACTTTCCTTTTTTTTCCTGCCTATCTTCAGTTTCGCAGCTTCAGAAAATTTTTTATATTTTACAAATTTTCATGCTTATTTTGCTCTGTAGATCTTCCTACTTATAACTGGTTTTCTAAGCACATGAGTCCTATGAGGGTATTTAAGTTTCTACTAATTCCATAAGTTCAGATTCCCTTCATAAAATCAGCTTTCTAATTGTAGGAAAGGAAGTCAGATTTTAAAATAGTGTAGATGTATGTTTAAGTTTATTTTCTGTTGCCGTGATAAAACACTAGCCAAAACCTACTTGAGGAGGAAAGGGCTTATTTGGCTTACACTTCCATGTCACATTCAGGGCAGGAACTTAAGCATCAGAGACCGTGGAGGAGCACAGCGTACTGGCTTGCTTTCTCTGGCTTACACCTTCCTTATTCTGCCCAGATCCACCTGCCCAAGGATGGCACTGCGCTCAGTGGGCTGGGCCCTCCTGCATCAATTGTCAATTAAGAAAATGCCTCACAGACATAGTTACAGGCTAATTCAATGGAGGAAATTCCTGAACTCAGGTTCTCTCTTCCCAGATGTCTCTAGTCTGTGTCAGGTTGACAAAAACTATCACATTTTTTAAAACATTCATGATCTGAAAACTTAATTAGCTCTCAAACTCCCTCTTTTTACATATCAATTTTATAAAATTAATTATGCCTTTAAACAACCACACCTGTGTATGCATGTGATCCCATTACTAGGGAGGTAGAGGTAGGAGGATCAGGAGTTCAAGGCCAGCTTCAGATATGTAACCAAGCTTGAGGCAGGTCTCTCTTATACATGCACACATGTAGACAAACACACAAACTAGCCTACCTTACTAATATAATGCCCTAAGATGTTGATGAGTCAGAATTTTAAAACTGGAAGAAACTTAAGATTATCCAGTGCTTGTTGACAATTGGTCTATGGCCAGGCACTTCAGCTGTTTGTTTCTGAGGCGTGAAAGTGGTGGTACATACCTTTAATCCCAGCGTTCGGGAGGCAAAAGCAGGCAGATCCCTGTCTCAAAACAAGCAGAACAAAACAACCCCCCACAAAAAACCAAGAACAGATCCCAAGGTTTCCACTCCTTGAAGCCATCCATAGCAAACACTTTGATCTGGGAACAAATACAGGTAGCAAATTTTCACTGAGCCCCTGTTGGATGGCAGGCCACTATACTAGATTCTAAAGGACAAAGCAGATATAGTTCATTTTCATGGAATTCACAGCTAGTAAGGAGGTAAGTAGGTTCCTGTATTATTCATTATAATGAGAGCTGTACAGAGAAGCATGGTTCAGTGACAACAGGCTCTGGGCACAGATGCAGCAGTCATGAAGGGCTCTTCAAAAAAGGGAACATTGCATGTACTGACATGAACTCAGCATGTAAAGGCTTTGGGCCAGTATATAGAATCTTGAAAGCTGTGGGATAAGAATTTGACTTTGACCTAAGGACAGGAAGAGAGCATTAAGAATTTAAGGATCCCTGAACCTGGAGGGTGGCTTATACCTGTCATCCCAGCTCTTGGGAGGATGTGGAAGGATTGCTGAGTTTGAGGCCAGCCTGTGCTACAGAATGAGACCCTATCTCAAAAAACAAACCCCCCAAACCCAAAACAAAACACCTCAAACCAACAACAAAATGGAATTTTAAGGAGGCATTATAGGATTTTAAATGATTTTGTTCAACATGGAGCAAAGATTAGAAAAAGGCATTACTGAAGTAATCAGATATCACTTTGAGATTCTCAGAAATAATTACCTCAGTGCGTTAGTGCAGTTACTGTGTAATAAGTCCTTTGCTCACACCCATCCTAATCTGTTGCCTGTCTGTCTGTGACTGATGTGTACACACAGCATAGTGCTTACTTTCTTTGTGTGGTAGCAATGTGCATTTCTAGTTTGGAAGGCAGTTTGGGGAGCTTCAGGCTGTGTATTATGCCAGTAAAGTAGAAGTGCTCAGGGATATTTCATGTGTTCATTCATTTATCTCCTAGATGTCTCAGCCAGATGTCCTCTTACTTGTTCAAGAATGTTTAAAGAACAGTGGTAAGGCCAAATTCTTGTACATTTTCCTACTAATTTTTTTCTTCTTTCTATAAATTAGGATATATAAAAACAAAGTAGGAAGTCACATTTCTAAAATTATTTATATGGGTAATATTATAGCAAAAATGAAAGCAGGTGCCCGTGGTGTATGAAGCAGTGTCCTGGTAGTAGTGCTCTGTAGAATAGACATTTCAAAGGAGAGGTTTTAGTTTCGAGTTATCAAGATAGAGGTGTCCTTGACTGTGACTAAGACATGCAAAATGTAAAATTTACTCTTGAGAGAAAATTCCAACAATAATCTGCTTTATTTTGTGATTTAACTCAGTGTTGCAAGCAGTAAGTAGGTGTGATCCAGCCCTGATTAATGAACTCAGGAGAGTTGTTCCTGTGGTTTATCAGTTTTTTTGTCCAGTATAGTGTCCCACTTAGGGCTTTATGGCCTTTTCTCAGTTCATAGGCCTCATCAAGTAGTTCGTCCCTTGAATTAGGCATTCTTATTTTTTCTGTTTTGGTTAGATAAGACATTTAAACATTTCATCTTATTTCAATCAATACATATTTTGGCACTGCTCATTTTAGTAGCTTTTGCATCAATTTTTCTTTAAGTCTCCTCTTCATATTTCTAATTATGTTATCCACATAGCATTTAAATGTTCTGGTTCAATAATGTAGTCATTTCTAATCAGACATTAGCTTTGCAAAATAAGGGCTTTTAATGTCACTACTTGGTTTTTGAATTTTTTCTCTTAAGTCACTTCAGAGGTTTTTATTTTAGTAGTGGCCTTTCAGAGAAGCGACAACTGGTACTTATTTTTTGATCTATTCTGCTTTTAAATAAGTTTTAATTAACCTATTTAATTTGTTTTCTTCTTTCCTCAGACTCGTTTATTGATGTTGATGCTGATTTCCATGCAAGGGTGCCAGTGGTGGTGTGCAGAGAAAAGCAAAGGTCTCGGTTTCTTCGAGCTGCTATTTTATTTTGTTTATTTTATTTGAGTTTTTGAGACAAAGTCTAGCTGTATACCCCAGGCTGGCTTTAAATTTAACCATAACCCAGGCTGGCCTCCAACTGGTGATAATCTTCCTACTTCTGTGTTGGAATTACAGGAGTATGCCACCATGCCCAGCTTAAGCTGTTCATTAACCGTCAAATTGACAAAAGTACAATACTTCACCAAATCTTAAGGTGCAACTTGTGATTATCTCATGTGCTTCCTACTAGCATTTTTCCTATGTTAAGAAAAATAAAATGACTCTTAAAATAAAATATTGGAAGCATCTTAACCTATTTATCATCTACATTGAAGACAACTTTCTGGAATAGTTGTTTATTTTTTATCACTTTTGCCAGTGTTTTTAGTAGCATTTGTGGCCCTGCTTAGTAGCAGTCAGTGTGACCTCACTTGTATGTCCTTCCCTTTGGGAAGCATTGCCATCATCACAGTGAATGGAGGATTCTTCATTTGGCAAATTCCTTTGACTCTTGGGAGAAAGCTCATTCATTGTTACAATGAGACAAATAATTTCCGTTTGAAGTATTTTATAATATTTTCCAATTTGTGTGCTCCTTCTGAAATATCTGTAGTGTTTGAAAACACAGTTGTAGTTATGAAAAATAAAGTTTATTCAAAATAGCTGCCAGATCTTTTTTTAAAATCTAGTTTCTTAAATAACCCACAAAGATACCATAGTTTTAAGTTCTTTTTGCATTTAAGGCATTTATTATCAGCACACATTCGTTGTTGGTAAAAAAAAGATACTGCTACTTGTCTAACACTTCTTTTCTCCTTTCCCTGCCATCCTCACCCTTTCCCCATCAGTGGTCTTCTGTGTAAAGTGAGTGCAGGGAATGAAAATGCTTGTCTGACAACAAGGCACTTAACAGCCCTTGGAAAACTAGAACCAAAGCTGCTTCCTTTGGTGATTGCATTTAGATACTGGGCAAAGGTAGGATTGAGTTCTTTTTTTGTGGATTTAGGTTTTTTGGTTTGGTTTGGTTTTTTGTCAAGGTCTTGTGATATAGCACTGCCTGGCCTGGAACTCACTACGTAGATCAAACTTGCCTCAAGCTTGTCAAAGCAGTCTTCCTACCTGCCTCCTTAGTGCTGAGATTGCAGATGTGCACCACCATCCTTGCTTTGGATACATATTTATAGGCAGCAAGAAAATAGACATCAGAACATTGGAATAGAAACTTTAACATACACAGAGGAAAATTCAGAGTTTCCATTTCACCATAACTTTTTTAAATAAAAATTTTATTTATTATTTTTATTTTATGTGTATGAGTATATTGCCTGAATGTGTGTAAGTGCACCCATGTCATGCAAATGCCTGCAGAGATCAGAAGAGGGCATCAGATTCCCCTGGAACTGGAGTTATGGATGGTTCTTAGCCACCATGTGGGTGCTAGGAATTGAACCTGGGTCCTCTGCAAGAGCAGCCAGTGCTCTAAACTGCTGAGACATCAGTCCAGCCCCACCATAACTGTTTCTCAGAAGATAAAAACAAGTTAAAATGCTTATTAAAAATCACATTTGGTGCTGGAGAGATGGCTCAGCAGTTAAGAGCACTGGCTGCTCTTGTAGAGGACCCAGGTTTGATTCCTAATACCCACATGATGGCCAACAATCATCCTGACTCCAGTTCCAGGGGATCCAGTGCCCTCTTCTGATCTCTGCAGGCATTGCATGACACGGGTGCACTTAAATACATGCAGACAATATACTCATACACATAAAATAAAAATAATAAAATAATTTTTAGAAAATCAGATTTGTGGGATGGAGAGAGAGCTCAATGGTTAAGAGCACTGACTGCTTTTGCAGAGGACCCGAGTTTGATTCCCAGCACCCACATGGTGGCTAACAACCATCTGTAACTCCAGTTCCAGGGGATCTGATGCCTTCTTCTGATCTCCAGGGGCATTGTATGACATTAGTGCACTTACACACATGCAGGCAATACACTCATGGACATTAAAAAAAAAAAAAAAAAAAGATTTGAGTCAAATCTTCGAGAATGTGACCCAAGAACTTATATTTAACTTCTTTGGAAAGGCTCTTGTTAGGCAAACTAAAGTTTGAGAGACAGCATCTTACACCATTTCCAGTAACATGCAGAGGCTCTAGAAAAAAACAGAAAATACTCTGTCACTGACTTGCTTCAGTTCCATAGTGTTTTAGCTAATTACCCTAGTTGAAATGTTTTAATAAACAGTAGAGCATTTAATAAAGAAGGCCACATTATGGTTGTAAGATTGAGCATCTGGCCAGGTTGTGGGCACAGACCTATAATCTCAACACTCAGGAAGCTGAAATAGGAAGCACTCAAGTTCTGGGATGGCCTGTGTTATATAGCAAGAACCATGCTCAGAAAAGAACTACAGCAACAAAAATACCGAATTTAAAAAAGGAGGTTTTCATAATCAAAAGCTTTACTAGTTTGGTATAGAGGTACTAAAAGATTCAGTTTCTTGGATCTGGGGTGAATAGGAGTCCCCATTTTCAACATGGTGAATTGATAATTACAATATAGCATTCTTGGAAAACCACTACAGGACAGAGTCCAGCTCAGTGGTAGAGTTTGGTTAGCATGACTTAAGGCCATGGGTTTAATATCCAGTACTCCCCCCAAAATTAATCAACATAATTAATGCATTTTTGTTTTTTGAGGAAAGGTCTGATTACATAGACCAGGCAGACCTTTACTTCAAAATTCCTTCCCTCATCTCTCCATTGAGCTATGATTACAGACATATGCCAGCACTGAAAACTTTGACCTGTTTCATCAGCAAGTAGGCCATGCTGTTTTAATAATATCTGTCAGTTCTAATAAGTTTGCTCATATTCTTTCCTCACATCTCAATTGTGAACCAGGTATTCATCTGTAAGGCTATAGTTAAGAAAGGACTGTTAAACCAGGCAGAATCAGTTGACTTATACTTAGAACTGAACCATCATTTTTACTGCATGTACTCTAACCGTGAGAGAGTATTTACCATAGATGGCAAAAAAATCAAACAGGGCTGGAGAGATGATGACTCAGCCGCACTGACTGCTCTTGAAGAGGACCCAAGTGCAGTTCCCAGTGCCCAAATGGCGGCTAACAACCGTCTGTGACTCCAGATCCAGGGACTCTGACACCCTCTTCTGATCTCCCTGGGCACTGCACAACATGGGTGCACTTATTCAGGCAATAAATACACTCATGCACATAAAACAAAAATAAAATGTTTTTTAAAATTAAATAACAGACATTTTAGGGCCAGCCATGAGTAAGTTCAGTTAACAGGATCATGTATTTGAAATTGAAACTGTCATTCAAAAACCACATTCTATGATTGTTAACAAAGGTTTAAGGAAGTTGTGGTTGTGCTGTTGTTACTTTGTTTTTTGTTTCTGAGGACTTCACATTATGAGTCAAGTTCTCTATCACTGAGCTATACTACTGGGACCTACTGTGCTGTTTAGTTCTGAGGAAATCCCTTTAGACCATGTAATATCTGGGAGTTAAGTTTCAAGGTTCAATCCAAATTGTTTAAATGATAAATGAAGGAAAAACAGTTCTCTCTTTTTATCTCATTTAGCTTTGCAGTATTGATCACCCTGAAGAAGGGGGCCTGCCACCCTATGTGTTTGCCCTGATGGCCATTTTTTTTCTTCAACAAAGGAAAGAACCTCTTTTGCCAGTTTATCTAGGATCATGGGTATGAAACTTTTTGGTTATTTATCTGATAATGATTTTATTAGATTCCTTATGCAAAATCTAAAAACCTAACCAGAACTGAAATATCTAATTATTCTGCTGATATGAACATCAATGCCTCTCATTACTGAAATATTAACATTTGATTATAAGATGTTGCTCTGTATCCTGTGTAGGAATAATACTATCTTTTCAGAGTACAAAAACTTGGGTTTTGAAACAACCGTGAATCAGAAAGTTTTAAACAGGAGACTATCAACCTGTTAAATTTATTTGATTTTTTTTTCTTTGAATTCTTTTCTGACTTGATACTTGTTTTTTTATTTTAATTTTTAAATTTATTTTTATTTTCTTAAGTGTATGAATGTTTTGCCTGCATGTATGTAAGTGCACCCATGCATACAATGCCCATGGAGGCCAGAAGAGGGCTTTACATCCCCTGGAACTGGAGTTTTGGATTGTTGTTAGCCAGTATGTGGATGCTGCGAACTGAACCCAGATCCTCTGCAAGAGCAGCCGTTGCTCTTAACCACTGAGCCATCTCTCCAGTCCCTTGATACTTATTTTTATATAGCATCTTCAGACCTTCCAGGGACCACTAAGCCTGTGTTTATTTTTATTATTTACTGATTTGGCTTTTAAGGGTAAGTTGTACTGTGTTACCCATGCTACATCAAACACCTGGGCTGAACTGATCTTCCTGAGTAAGTAGGACCATAGCACTTCCCATTTCTGGTTTTTTTATTCCTTATAACCTATAAAACCAAAGGAAATGGAAACACTGAGATTACTACCTACTTCACATGATATCGTACTTAATAGTCACTCCTTGAGTAATGTTTTGGTGTTACCTTTATGGTGAATCAGCCTTCAGCAATGGAACTACTTTTATCTATCCTGGGGGGACAGGCCTCTGATCTCAGCTACTGTGAAGGCTAAGGCAGGAGGCATATAAGTTCAGGGCTTCTCTGGGCTATAGATTGAGTTTAAGGCTATTCTAGGCAAGTTTATTAGTTCCTGTGTCAAAAAGTAGTTTTTAAAAAAGATGAGGCTAAGGGTATGGTTCAGTCTGAGTACTTGCTCAGCCTTTTTGCAATTCTAGGTTCAATCCCCAGCACCACCAAAGGGGGGGACGGGGGGACTATTAACTCTATCCATAAATTAAAGTTGAATTGATTTGTTCAAATAGTAAGTTTTAAAAACAGGCATCTGAAAAGTAAAAAAAGTCAAAATGGTTATATTGTTTTCCTCTTAGAAATTCTGTTTTTAATCCCAGATACTTAATCTTGATAATATTTACTCTTGTGTATATAGTTTTGTAACTTAGTGAAAAGATCACTGGCATCTTGGCTATTCTAAGTACTTTTCTTCTATCTGCACAGGAGCTGCTTCTTATTTAGGAGTATGTTCTATAGAGTAGTTCTTATCTGTAGGTATACATAAAAGATGATTAAAAGAAAGGTTTTTTTTTTTT